GAATTTCTTTTCCAAATAGTTTCTTTGCAAATTGTTTGCATTAAAAGTTTGTTTTTTTCTGGTCAACTTGTTCTTCAAGGCATTCTTGGATTTGTAAATGAGATTACTATCGGGTCACATAAGAAAGTTTGTCTTTAGGTGGGAATCAGAGAGGAACTAGGAGCATTCCTTCTCCTTCTCTCTTTCTAGAATGGTGCAAATATAGGGTTTGGTTTGATTTTATTTTAACTTGAATTGGACCTTGAGGCAAGGTTGAAGTGAGTTCCAGAGATATCTTGGGAAGAACGAACATATGAACAGATTCAGAAAAATAGGTCTAAATCTTCCTGGAAGTAAGGAACTAATTACAAATGTAACCTCCAACCTCATGTGCATACACTCATGCACATACACACAAATGGTGGGTTTCAACCAGTGTAACAACTGGTTCAGTGAGCACATGCTTCATGTGTGGGTGCAGTATTTGAAAATTGCCCATTTTCAGCTCTAAAACATACTTCTATTGCAGCCCCAGTGAGTAAAACAGTTGAGGCGTGGCAATCCGCTGTGCCATGCAAATCAGCTGGGCTGAGAAACACGAAAATATGGGACAGACTAGGAAAGGGACGAGTGGGCGGGGTCAACTAATTGCCAGAACTGAGGGTTTGTCCAAAGTGGTCCGATCCAGTAGCAGCCCACTCCTGCACACAAATCACACACGCCACCATATGTGTGTGTCTTTCTCTGTGTGTAATGCTTTGTTAAAACATGCCATTGAGCTTTCACTATGACAGACTTGAGAAAGATTGTAGGTTTATTTCACACATAAGTTGCAGCTTTCTTTAGAAAATCAAATGGATAGGGAGCAATTGCCTGAATTATTTTTTCTATTTCATAGACTAGCTCCAGGGAGACACCTATCTTTTTCTCTGGCAGCGTTACATTGCCCAGTAGAATATATTCCATGTGTTCCTATTCAAAATAATCTGAAGACTGTATCAATGTAACTGTAGCTGTCTACTGTATAAGCTGTGCAGTAAATGCAGTGAAATAAATGAAAATCAAAATGCATCCACTAAACATATATAATTTCCAAACCACTGATGTCAGGTATATTTTGGATGTTGTACAGGTTGAGATTTACTCTAGCATTTGTTCTTACAACAGATACCTCTGCTGCTTATGTATTCTTCAGAAGCTTATGATCTGATTGATCTGATTGAAATGCCTTGATAGATGAAATGTACACACTAAAAATGATTATTCAGTCTGTTTAGATATGTAGATATGTCCCATTAGGTCCAGCTCTCATAATTGATGACAAATTTTGAGAATTCTTATATGAATATCTGAAGAGCATGACAAAGAACCAAGTCGCTGGCATTTTCTTAAAGGCAAAAGGATGATGCATTAGACAAGAAATGTGCTGTAGTCAATGTAAAAGAAAAGTGTTGTAATCAATGGGATTAAGAGGGAGTTAAGATGAGAAGGAAACCAAAGAGGAAGTTTGCAAAACACCATTAACTTTTTTCAATTGCCAGTGGCACTTGTTACACAACAGAACTGAATGTATTTTATTGCAGATCTAAAATGAAGATCAGCCTATAGAAGTCCCACTTGTAATATTGCAAAACTTGGTTATGATTGTGTAAGAAAACAAAGCAAAAGCAAAGCAAAAGCAAAGAAAAAGAGCTTGTTTACATCACTTATTCTCTATTGTTCAAACTTTTTTCTTTTCTTTTTGCAAACTACGAGGAATTTGAGTATTGTGTGGGTGGTTGCTATCTAGTGCCAAAAACTGTTTTAAAGTACGACAGTATTTTTTAACTGACAATCAATGGTTCTGTGTGCACTTGTTTTGTAAACATGCAATGCTCTATTTTCAAATAAGTGTGACTGTCCTGTGTTGTTTAATGGTTATAGGATATGGAGGCAATGAACCTTCATCTTTTTCTTCAAGAAATCTGCTGAGCAAGAAAAGGGTTTGCTTTTTAGCTATGCTAAGCATGCTAATATATGTGATTTATTTTTGGAGTGCTTCACTGTATTTTTTTTCCTTCATCACTAGTTCTTGTGATACTTATGCATACCTATGGCATACCTACATGTGATTGATTCTGACTCATTTTGATGCAACACACAGCAGGATTTTTACCACATAAGTGGACCTGGTCCTCATTTACAGTCTGTTTTAAATAAAAAGCCACCCAGTAAGCTACCCCTTATGATGTATCATTTTCAGCCTTACAACATTGAAATAAAATCTACATCATAAGTTATCCGTTTTCTGCAATCATGACTTCTCTGCAACCCCTTATGGCTTCCAATCATATGTGATGGTCCACTGATACAGCAATTATCCTGTGGGAGTGACACTGAATCTAATGGGCCTACATTTACTTACTTTGTTATTCCACCTTGCATGGCACCTAATCCTAGACTTATGGTTAAAATGCACTGTACAATAAAAATAAGAGTAACAAATAGTAAAGCCATGCTTGCCAACAGTTCATGCGCCTCTCATTTGGTGCCTTATAAGTTTGTAAGAGTGTAGTGTGTATTTATCATTAGCATGCAATGACATTTTCTCGATTGTCAGTTGTTTCTGTCATAGTGTCGCTGTCTAAAAGTTCAAATTATATCATTTGGAAGTTCTGCCCATGGTGAAACTCACTTATGAGTAGAAGTGTATTCCATTTCTTACTGTGGTGATCAAATTGATTGATTAATCCAGGATCTTTGCTATGGAATTACATTTTGAATGTAATTTTTTTCAAAGTACAATTTCGGAGTCTCAGTTTTGGTACGTGGCAAAGACAGTCTGAGGTGATTTCAGTGAGGGGCTTTCCAAAGCAGCAAATGAATTAACTAATTCTCCTCCCTCTCAGTTGCATCAGAATAAGTCTTTTTTTTAATTCTGTTGGTGTCTTTCACAAAGTTTGCTTGAACTATTCACAGTTTTGTGTTTCTTCCTGTGATTTATTTACTGTACATTTTTATTTGTGTTATTGCATAAACAATGAAACTTTAAAAGTTATTTAAAGTCAGTCACCCTCAACTGATACAGATTGTTTGCAATGTGGGTTTTTCCCCCCAGCATAATGTCAGTAGAACATATTGATAAAGATAATTTTAATCAGCGTTGAAGACTAGATACAAGAAAGGATTCAACAAAGGATTCAAACTAAGTGAACAATATTTAGAAAAGCTAATAACATTTCTTTTGTATATGAGATAAATGAAGGAGTCATAGGAAATAATCCTTAAGAATTGAAAGATACCCAGTTCTGCATACTAGGTTTTGGGCAAAAAATGAGTTATCTCCTTCAACCTGAAGGCAAGCTCCTCCTTTGCTGGTTGTATGATTTAAATGATGTTTCTAAGTAATAAACAATCTTCTGTCTCCTAATTTAACAATTACTTTGTTTTAACTTCACTAATTGACATTCTGCATAATGTATAAACACTATATTTTTATAGGACATCCTTAATTTTTCTATATACCAAACTAAAATCCTTTTGGAAATTAAACTGCAAACTCTACAGACATTTTTTTTTCAATATATATTTGAGTGTGTAACAAGAGCAAGTACATCTGAAAGTAATTATTTCCATGAATACGGCTATATAACTTGCATATGTACCACATTTTTATTTGTTTGTAACTACAATTGTCCCTGAAGTTTTGTCAAAGTCATAAGAAGGTACTTTTCAATTTAATATGCCTCATGATAAGGAAGATAAGAATAATGTAATTTAGCTTTTAAAGATTATGGCATTTCATAGATAGAAACAGTAATTCTAGTTCCACAAAATGCAAAACATTAAGTATACACTTCTATAATAATAATATGTTTCACCACTTGTTTTGTTCAAGAGCTTCTCTAGATAATCAGGAATGATAGTCTTGCTTTCATATACAATATGGCATCACACTCTTAACATAGCATGCATTTTTAATGGTTGAATGTTGTCTACATTGAACACTTTTGTAGGATCCAACTTTCACTTCTTCATGTTGTCCAATTATCACCTCTGTCATTTCTTGAAATGTTATATTGCTTTAAAAATTTGAACAGTTTTTTTTTTAAAAAAATATCCCATGGGATATTTCAGTATCAATTTATGTTAAGAGTATTTTAATACATACATTAATGTATGTGCCCCGTGTGAGTCAGTTTCCAAGGACTTCCCATTTTGACCTTAGTGTGATTGGTGCCAGCACATCAAATCATATAGAGTTCAAAGCTATGGCATGGAATGTCTGTGAGAAGCAAATTGATGAATTTTTTTTTCACATGCTATTTCATAAAACTTGTTTTTTTGCCTGAACAAAACTTTTAAGTTTGAAAAACCAATTATCTTTATAGTTTGGGAACCCAAAAATATAACTTTAAAATGATCCTGTACCAGACTAAATTATTTCAAACACACTTTATTCTCCAAATCCCCTCCTTCATTTATGTAAAGATCTTATTAGTTGTAATCTGTTTAATGTACAGTATGTTTCAAAGAGTGACTAGTTATATGTTTGTGATGTATAACTTTTTTTAAAACAAAAACTGCATACGTATAATTTGTTGATCCCATTGTAGAAATCACTAAATTCATTAGCACCTTTAAATTTTATTCTACAATCCTTTGTTTATTTGAAATATCTAAGAATCTTACTTTAGGGCTGCCACGCCGGAAGGAAAAAAATGACTCACTCATAAGTGATTAAATTAATGATTTAATCATTTACATCAATCTACTGAGGAATAGAAAGGTTTTTTTTAAAAAAAAAACTATTAATTTATCGTCTTTAGTTTCACATCATTGACATAATCTGGCAAAAGTTGTCTTCCAAGACAGCACATACCATCTTAATTTTTCAATAAACTGTTGTAGCCTTACTGTCATTTATCTATGTCAGCCATTCAATCCTGTAGTTTAGGATTCAACATATTACAAGCATGTATTATTAAGTGCTTCAAATGCCTTCCCCATAAATACTTTTTGTCTCCAATTTGCTTTTACAGTCCTCCACAAGCAGCCCAGAGAAGTGTGCCTTTGTTTGCTTGAGCTTGGAAGGATTGCAGCCAGGTAGGCAACTTACTTAAAGAATGAACAAGAATGTCACCCTTGGCAGCAAGAGAGATGGAGAGAATGAGTGGTTCAGTGCACTGTCAAACTAACATTTATACTAGTCTGGGTCAAGGCAAAGGTCCAACTATTAGTACATGCAGAGCATATTGGGGGCAGTTGTTCAAACAAAACAGTCAAGGGTTTATTTAAAAAAAAATGATAGAGCTAGTATGTCATTTCAAAAAGCTCAGAAAAAAAATTATCCTGAAAACAAAACTGTAATAGAGAACTGATTCCTCCATAGAGTATTTGACGTGTTCAAGTAAGATGCTTCAATAACTGGGATCTTTTTGCTTTGGGTCCTTATTGTAAACAGTATCATCATCCTCTTCCTCATATAAACTGTGTTTTTTTTTTTTCAATTTACACCAGCACAAGTAAGTAAGTTGAGTCAACTTTGATTTCTTTTGTGTCAAGGTAGTTAACCCATTAAGATGGGAGATGAAAAAGAAATTTTGTTACAGTTCTAACAGAAAAAAGCTAGGAAATAGGAGCGGATATGATGGAGATGCAAAATAACTTGTAAATAAACCCAAGTTGATTTTTTTAATGTTTCGAAAGTTTGAAAGAACGCATAGTAAATTTTCAAATGTTGGGTCGTGGAGATATATATATATAGCACTACTTCTGCCCACAATGGGAACTGGCATGCCTGCAAATCTCTTACATCAAAGGTTGGGCATTTGTTGAGATAATGGTGTGAATTCTTATTATTTCCCTATCCAGTCTGAAACAGCACTATCATCCACGACCCAACATTTGAAAATTTACTATGCGTTCTTTCAAACTTTCGAAACATTAAAAAAATCAACTTGGGTTTATTTACAAGTTATTTTGCATCTATATATATATGCTGAGGGGGAAATGAGGGCACCTCCATTGCCTTTAGAACTTCAAATAAAAATATGTGACAGAAACAACACCAGATAATATTAACCAATAATAGAAATACAAACAGATCAAAAGATAATGCTGTGAGGAAGGCAAAACTTATGCCTGCCAAGATAAATCATGAATGACGGTCTACCCACCCAGGACTAATCTCAGTCTAAATGTATAAGGTTCAGTAAAATGGTAAGATGGCTACATAAACCCATTGCATTAACATAATCTATTTTTACATTTAAAAACAGCTGTATGCCTGACTGAGAAAATCAGGTGTGGGAAAAAATTGTGTTTCTGTTTGTGACCATTGTCTCCATGAGGAAATAAATTTGTGTACCCTACCCTTTTCACTGAAGGTATTTTATGCAGTTAAGGCTTTTCATATAGAGACCATGGAATTTCAAACAGAATGGAGGCATCTTATGGGATGGGATACTTCCATCATTTTGCACTTATAGGGAGGAAAAAGAATTCAGAGATGTCTCTTAAATCCCCAGAGTGTCATACAAAAAAGAATATTAGTTCCCAGAAGAAGGATATGAAGTGAGAAATTCCTTCCTGCTACATATTTTCCTTCTAGGTCCATTAGGCTTGCAAAATACAGAATTTATAGTTAATTGTTACTGAATTGGACCTGATTCCTGGTGATGTATGGACACATTGTGTCTTCACCTTTATCTGATGACAATCTAGAGCTCTTCCAGAGAAATATCCCTCATCCTACCTATCAATTTTATTCTATATTCTTCCATCTTGGCAAACACAATAATTGTTTGTAATCCATCATCCATTTGCATTATGTGATCAAAATATGTGAGCTCCTACTTGCTTCAATCAGGCAGTAAGTCTTAATTTCTTTTAAGACTGATTGTTGGGTTCTTAAGAATCCATAATATTGTCTCCAAATCTTTAATTTGAAGGAGTTTGTCCACATTCTCCCATTGTGAATACTTCCCCCCGAGCCTTATATTACCATTGAGAACTTTATATCTTTAATTATTCTGATTTTTGTTATCACTGAAAATTAAATTGTGTCCTCCCATAAGCTCACTCTTCTCCATTTGACCTTTCCACTTAAAAGTATAGGAGTTTATACTTCACTGGCATTACTTTCAAGTAAATGCAGTTTCTAATCCCACCATATTAAAAAAAGTAATAAATTACAAGAAAAAAAATTGATTAAGCAGAGTTGAATAAATCAAATTTTCATAATCAATTGAATCTTCATTTAGTGTGTATCAAGATATAACCTTATGCAGATGTAGTACCCTTTAATATAAAGGACTGAAACAAAATAAGGGAAACAGCTAGGCTGGGGGAAAGCACTCTTAAGCCATGAAACAGGATACATTGTATTATAAGATGTTGAAGTGGAAGAAAAAATGGATTTGTATTCAATTGAAGAGCACAGGAGCTATATCCGATGAGTAAGTATATAGTCAGGGTCCAATGGGAACAGAATAATTTATGGCCTCTCAGCATCTGCGTCTCCGCACTAGATGCATTATTAAAAATCTGAGGTCTGGAATTAGATAAAGAAAAGCCAATGAGGTAAATTTGATTTGAATCTGCACAGCATAATAAAGAACACTGAAATTTTTGTATTAAATATATCTCTACAATTCTCTACAAATTAGAAAAAAAATATTTCCACTGTCTAATAATGTAGCCTTTTCTTTTCTTTTCTTTTTTTAAATAAAGTTTTATTGAGTTTTAACAAAACAAATAAAACATCTTATTTGAGTACAGCATTGTTCCGGGTTATCACATTTCCATACAGATACAATTTCATTTGCATATTCATCTTATGTATTCAACTTCATATCTTATTACTCTTTTTCCAATTTCTCACTATTTCTCCCTTTACTCCTCTTAAGTTTCTTTTATGGTTATCTCATTTTCTTCTTATTCAATTGTATTTCTTTTACCTAAATTTCTATATATTTTTATTCATTGTACTTATACTTTCAATGGTCTTGTTTACAATTTCATATGTTCTCTTCCAACATTCTTAAGAAGCAAAATTCCCCCTATGATTGCCAATCAAAGTGTAACACCTTTAAATCTTATTGTTATTATCATATGAAATCTCATTAAACGTTGAATTTGTGCATTCTAAAATTATAACATTCAAATTTCTAATATCTATTTTATATCATGTAGATCTCATCATTCAGACTCTGCTTGGTACTTCCCCTTGAAAATGTAAAAAGAAAAATTCTAAAAACATAGCAAAAACAATATATGTATATGTATATGTATATGTATATATATGTATGTTTTCTTAAGTTTTCGCGGGTACTTACATGTATGTTATTCAGCTTTGTTCGGGTATTTTCCCACGTCATTATAGTTGTGCTTTTAAAGTTGTAGCAACGTTTTGGCAGAATCTCATCTGCCATCATCAGGCTTCGGTATTGTGTGCGTCTGTGAGTCAGACTTTTACAGTTGTTTCAGTTTTAAATGCCCCAAACTATATGGCCTCCCAAAAATACACAAAGAAGGCATACCTCTCAGACCCATAGTCACCTCCAGAGGAGCACCACTATAAAACCTAGCTAAACACTTAGCAAAACAGCTACAGCCCCATGCTGAAACAGCAGCTTCACATACCACTTCTTGGAAATGATCAAAGATCTACATGTGGAGCAAGAAGATCTGCTTGTAAGTTTCGACGTGGTTTCACTATTCACTCAAGTCCCGATAAAAGAAACTCTTGAAATCATCAAAAATAAATACCAACCAGCTAAACACCTCATAGAACTAACAGAACACTGCTTAACCAACACATATTTCATATACAAAGGACAAAGATACAAGCAAATTGAAGGAGCCCCTATGGGATCACCACTGTCACCCGTCATTGCAAACCTGTTCATGGAAGAATTCGAATCCAGAGCCCTGACTAATGCCACGCACAAACCCAAACTATGGTTAAGATACATCGATGACACATTTGTGATTTGGCCCCATGGAAAAGAAAACCTAAACAATTTCCTAACACACCTAAACAGCACACACCCCAAAATCAAATTCACCATGGAAACGGAAACAAACAAACAACTACCATTCCTAGATGTACTAATCTACAAAAAAAAACAGATGGCACACTAGGACACACCATATACCAGAATTAAACACACACCAACCGCTACCTCAATGCCCAATCCCACCACCACCCAGCACAGATAAACTCCGTGGCCAAAACACTAATTGCTAGAACCAAACGCCTGGCAGACAAGACACACATAAAGACTGAACTATGCACCCTGACTAAAGTACTGACAGCCAACAGCTTCCACAAAAGCAAAATCACTGGCTTGATCCACAAAAACACACTGAGACATAATGGAGACCTAGAAGATGAACAGACCTATGGAACAGCTGTCCTGCCCTACATAAGAGGTACTACAGACAAAATCAGTAAGATACTACACAGGCATCATATCAACACTGCCTTCAAAACAGACAGAAAAATAGCAGCCATCCTTAGAAACCCCAAAGATAAAATTGACCTGGAAAACCAAGGCATATATGAACTCCCCTGTGCATCATGCCCGGCCACATACATTGGACAGACCAATAGAAGAATAAGTACCCGCCTGGATGAACACAAAAATGCAGTAAAAAAGCTGGAACACATTTCCTCACTAGTCCAACACATGAAAGCCACAGGTCATAGCATCAACTTCAATGGCACCAAAACCCTAGCCACTATAGAAAACCCAGCCACAGAATTATCAGAGAAGCCATAGAGATTGAAAAAAGACCTGACAGCATGAATAGAAGAGATGATTCCACCAGACTGTCAATTATTTTGAAGCCTGCACTCACAAACAAAAAAATATCCACACCACTAGCCAGGCAAATACCTGGGCACAAACAGATCCCCCCTGATACCTCCAGCTCAAACACACCCCAACCAGGCACCCAGATGAAACCTAGCTTCCTAACAAATGATAGCCTTCCATTTACTCGGAGCCAAGCTGCACTAAAAGCCTCCAATACAGGAACACAATGTTGCCAGCCAATCAAGACACACACACACACACAAAAGCCACAAAACAGACAGAAGATGTTAGAAACACCAATCAAGCAGAACACAGCAAACTCCAAGACCAATAAACACAGACCAAGACTCCCAACCAATCAAGATGAAGAAAAAACCATTCTGGTACAGCAATAGGCTAGCCCCAAATTTAAAACTGAAACAACTGTAAAAGTCTGACTCACAGACGAACACAATACAGAAGCCTGATGATGGCATATATGTTTTCTTAAGTTTTCGCGGGTGCTTACATGTATGTTATTCAGCTTTGTTCGGGTATTTTCCCACGTCATAGTTGTGCTTTTAAAGTTGTAGCAACGTTTCGGCAGAATCTCATCTTATATATATATATATAAACATTTATATATATAAATAAACATATATATATATATATGTATATAAACATTAATAAACAAAATAGTTATTCAAAATCATTCTAGTACAGGTATGAACCTTGTAAATCTTTTATGTTTCTTTTCAATATCTATCAATCTTTAAGAACAATTGAAATGTTTTCCTCCCTTCTTCATTATTACTTAACTGTTAATAAGCATACCATTGGATAGTCATACAGTTTTATCATATAAATTATTTATTATTAATAAGCAAAATAATTATTCAAATTCATTCTAATAACTGGTATAAATTTCCTTATAAAACTTTCACATTTCTTTTCAATATTTTATCAATCTTTAGAAACAATTGCAATGTTTCCCTCTCTTCTTTATTATTGCATTAATTATAAATAAACATACCATTACATAACAATACAGTTTTATCTCATAGATTCTTTACTTATTTCATTTCTAACTCATTACAGTATCTACTGTCACAACACTATATTTTGTACCTTTGCAGAATCCTCACTTTTAACTTAATTTAACTTAACCATTGTCTCTGTGTTTTCTAGCTGAGCAAATACCTTTAATCCTAGTACGTTTCCCCTTTTTCTTTATTTCCTGTTTTGGTCCCTCATAAGTTCTTTCCCTTTCTATCTTCCCCCCTTTTTCTCATCCCGTTTTTTATACCCTTCTCTCTCTAATTTTCCCTTCTGTAGTTTTCTTTTCTGCTTCTCCTTGCTGTTATACTTCTTTTTCAGACTATTTTTCTTTTTGGCTGTTTCCTTTGATCTCAAACTTTTAACTCCTTTCCCCCTTTTTCTCCTTATTACCACACTTTGCATTATTTGATCATTGAAAATGGCTTCTTCTTTGTCCTGCCCTTCTTGCTCTTGAAGCTTTTCCTTTTGCTTTTCATACTTTAGGATCTCCATTTCAAAAAATTCAAATACGAAGCCAAAGGATCTTCCTCCCCTTTCTGCATCTTTTTTCTGTTTTTTAAGACTCATCTTCAATTCCTCCAGGAGTAATGGCATTTTAAACACTTTTGAACAACCACCCCATTGTCTTTAAGGAAAAACAGAAAAAGAAAGAAAAAACCAATGCCAAAAACTTTTTTTTAAAATCACCAAATGATCCCAGACTGTTCCTTCTTGTTTCTTTCCTTTACTTTTCATTTCCGTGGGTTACTGTATCTTTTAATAAGATTTCAGTTACAATGTATCCTCGGGAGTCTTTTCAAAGTTTCACTGTTAATCCTCTTTATTTTTCCAGGTGGCACTCCATTTTTCCATTATTCCAAGTCCCACCCTTTTGCCTCCACTCTTCTCCTTTTTAGGGCTTTAAAATGATCAAGAAAAAATCTTTATTCTCCTTTTGACACTTAGATTTCAGCTTAAGGTTGCCTATTAGCGTCAAAATAGATTAATATAAATTTCTTTCCATACCATTTGTAATTGTCAATATAAAGGTTAAAAAAGTGGTTTTAACCTCCTTTTCTCTCTCCTTCGCCGCTTAAAGATCTTCTTTCAGAAGTATCCCTCTAGGTATTTTTAGATTCAGGTACCTTGCTTAGATGTTCTCTGTTGTTTAGCCCGGTCTGTCCTGCTTTCCTCTTTGTCTTCCTCCTGCACAATCTTATCCAGTCGGGTTCTTCTTTGAGATGGCCATTTCTGACCACCGTTGCAACCGCTTTTGGGGAAGGGAGTTTAGACCAGCCAAGGAGGAGAGATGCTGCTCCCCTCCACTCGGCTAGCAATCTCCCCCCTCTTCACCACCTCTACAGGGTGGCTTCAGCCCCAAATCCAAAGGATCGGGGCACTCCAGGGGTGAGCACAAATTGAAACTGCACATGATCGTGGATTTCGGTCTGTTGCTGAAGAGATCCAAACCAGAAGCCAGCCTTGTCTTTTCCAAAATGTCACTGTCTTCTTTTCTGCATAATGGCTAGTAATTCTGAGCATCAATATTTTTGGAAAATCTGAAAGGGGAAAATCTTCTTAAGGCTTTGAATTGCTCCTTAATCCCAGAAAGAATGGGAGCATGCCCAATAGCTTTGTATAATGAAACAAGACCAGTTATGCAATTAATGCTGCAATATGTGTAAGTTGTGCCTTTTGACCAATGGTACTTCCAGATGATCAGCCATTAAAACCACACATCTTTATTATTTCAATTTGCTTGAATGGTTCGGATTGTTCTAACCATTTCAAATCATTTGAAAATTGGAACAATCAGTAGTGACATTGGTTGGTGCAAAACAGCTTTTCTCTATTGACCAGCTATTCAAGCTGGTATTCACTTGAGTTTATGTCATGATCCCATGCAACTAGTGATGGCATTGTGGGTCATAGGAAAAGACTCATCTCTAATGATGGAATTGTTTGGAACAGCCTTCTATGAAGAAGGACAATTCAGAAGCTCTATATCAGTAAATTCAGGACTGTATAAATAAAATATAATGCTGTTCCTGAAGTCCAAAATTAAATGGTAATGTTGATGTATTATGTGTTAATGCTAATACAGTGGTTGCTTTTCCTCAGGCCTACCCTTAGAACTAAATACAGGCTTCAGGATTTATTTTAAGCAAGAATTTTTAATGTGATGTTTAGAGGTTGGTTTTTCACAATTTTCAGCAACTGATGTCACTATGAGGTAACTGTTTTATAAGTCCAGGATTCAATTTATCCTTTTAAAAGGTTTGGTGTAGAGCCTTCTGGATTGATAAAGCTGGAGAAAGAGATTGAACAAGAAGAAACACTTTCAACTCCTCTTCCTTCTCCTTCCCCTTCTCCGACAAAGTCACCTGGCAAAAAGAGCACAGGAAAACTCCTGGATGATGCAGTAAGTTTGTTTTGTTATACTTCTTAGAGCTTTATTTATTCAACTTCAGCTTCCTCCAATCTAAAACATTTGATTGTACTATTTGGGAATTCTGAAAGCTGCAGCTCTACACATCTGAGGCTTACATGATTCTGATTCATAAGTATTTTTTTCCAAATTTGAATAGCATATACATAAATAGTAATTCACAGTAGTAAACTGAATAAACACATCTAGGAACTTAGTGGAAATTTAGTTCAAATGAGGGATTGATTAAAAACATGTTGATAACGGTAAGGCACAGTGAAGTTTTTATAATATGGAACCATTTGTTACTGCTGGAATGGAAGCATTGCCCAACTTCAAACTACCTCAGTGATGTACAGTGAAGGCAAACAAAATACAATGCAATAAAATTATAAAAGAAAGGGAATAAGGAATAAGAGGACGAATACAGACATATTTTCTCACAGGATGTTAAAGGCTGTTTTCTACCAAGGATCCTAACAGTAAGATTCAGGGACTTGGTCATTCAAGGTATATATACAGAGTCACTTTTCAAATATGCTGAAATATAGATATTGGAGATGAGAGACACAGTAATAGGATTCTAGTTACTTTATTCATCCCAGATCTTTTTCATGTTTTTAAAACTCAAAAGAGAGCAAGCTGAGGTATTAGTTTGGAAGCATGCAAATGTGAATAGATAAATAGGTACCATTTGGATGGGAAGGTTACAGTGTTCAGTGTGCCTCAGCATATAGTCATGCTGGCCATAGCACCATGAAAATGTCTTCAGAGAATGCTGGGTCTCTCAGTTAAGAAACAGAGATGAGCACCATCCCCCTAGAGTTGAACACGTACCTTTTAAAATTTTGTTCATTATTTAATATTATTAACTGATTGACATTGAATCAGGCCTTTATACCACTGGACTATCTAATCCAGGGGTGTCAAACTAGATTTCATTGAGGGTTGCATCAGGGTTGTGTTTGACCTTGAGGGAGGGGGGCATGGCCAGGATGGGCATAGTCAGCTCCATGTCACTTGTGTTGGGGGCTCCTGTGGTGGCCCAAGTGCTCTGCCAGCAAAAAATGGGCTCCTGAGGTCCGTTTCCAGCTGTAACAGCCTCTTGCAACCCTCTGCCAATGAAAATGGAGTCAGGAGGGCTGCACTCAGGAGGGCTCTGGAGCTCCATTTTTGCTGTGGGTCCTTCGCTCTTTCCAGGGCAGTCCCATGGGCCAGATCTAAGCATCTAATGGGCCGGATCTGGCCCACAGGCCTTGAGTTTGACACCCCTGATCTAGCCCAATATTCTGTTGCTGTCTATGTCAATTTGCATGGCATTTTACAGAGAATGAAGCAGGTGGTTCTATGGAAGGCTTAAAAAAACAGAAGCAGCAGAAAAAAAGAAAACGGAGTAACTTTGTTAACAAGATCTGTAAAGCAATTCCCCCAGGTAGTGGCCGTCAAATGTGATGGACTTCATTGCTTATATGGACTGGAGACATGAAGGCTCCTAATATAAGCCCAATATAACTAGTTAGCATCTCAAGAAATGTGCTTCAATGTTCCTTTAAGAAGGTATTGAATAGGATTTTAAAGGATATGGTGTCTAATAGGTGTTCAGGGATCAACTTAGAACATTTAAATAACAAGCAATCCTCTTTTGGGACGCTGAAGAGCTTTGAAAAATGGAAAGTGGAATTGCAGAAGTACAGGCAATTCTCCTCCATGCTGCATCGAGAGCCCAGGATGGGTTGACTCCTTCCTATGACGTCATTTAGCTGAGTCTGTAATAAGATATAAAAGCCAGTCCCCGGAAGTTACCCCAGCTTTTCACTCAGTTTCTTTCAGTCAGTAGCTGTGTCTCTGAAAGTGTTCTGTTAGTTAGCACTCACCAACGATCTTCAGTACCTTTTTTCCTTGCTTCAAGCAGCTCCCAGGGCAGCTGCTCTTCCAGGAGAGCAGGGCTCTCTCTCCTGCAACGTTGGGAGCAGCGTTCCCAGAGCACTGTTCAGGTAAGTTGGGCAGCGTCTGTAGACCTCCCCCATGCCTGCGGTTTGAGCAGTCGTAAAAAGTGATCGGCAAACCGATAACAGCGTCAGCCAGCTGAGGTTCTGTAGACAGCACTCACCAGCGATCTTCAGTACCTTTTTTCCTCGCTTCAGCAGCTTCTAGGATCTGGACAGCTGCTCTTCCAGGAGAGCAGGGCTCTCTCTCTCTCCTGCAACGTTGGGAGCAGCATTGCCAGAGTGCTGTTCAGGCAAGTTGGGCAGTGTCTGTAGACCTCCCCCATGCCTGCAGGTTGAGCGGTCTAAAAAGCGATTGGCAAACCGATAACAGCGTCAGCCAGCTGATCATGTGGCCAGAGGCTGCCCTTTCCTTTGCTGACTTTGCTCGGGGCTCTTTATAGCCTAAGGAGTGATTCATCGATCTTGGAGCCTGTTTCCCATAGTCAGTGGCCATCTTGGATTGATGCCTTCCACCACGAGGTGAGTGGCCATATTGTAAGCCCAGGGGCCATTTATACCCTAAGGGGCTTAATAGAAAAATTTACAAACAGTTTCTTTCCATCGCAAGAGCCTTTTATTCTATAATGGAGCAAGATAAGGGTCAGGCAGAGCTTTCCCCTATAGTGGAGCAGTCTCTTAAGCCAATAAGAGAAAAAGACGTAGGCAACGCACCCAATCGGTCCAGAGGGGGGGTGGCTGCTAAAATCAGAGCTAAGGCTCTAGCCTCTAAGAAGGCAACTCGGGTTGAGTTGAGGGCAGAAAAGCGCAGACATGCTGCCCTAGAGAGGCAGTTCAACAGAACTATTCAACAGGAGTGCAGTTACAGAAGGTTTCAGGTGATACCCGTGGGCCCCAGCCAAGCCCTCCCAGGGAAGGAGAAGTTATCTCGAGCCTTTCTATCCTCCATCCTGGTCTCCTGAGGCTTTGGCAGTACAATATGATCCTCAGGATCTAAGCAGATCTGGGCCTTATTTCCAACAGGCTTCTGGGCCCTATGCTCCTCTCCTTCCCTCCAGGCCTTGAACCTCTTCTCAATCTAGGCCTGAAGCCACCTTCATTTCCACAGCAGTGGGCCTTCGGCTTTCTGCCTCTACCTTTGAGCATAGAGCAGGGAATATCCAAGATGTTGTCTCATTGGCCATTAGGCAGGGATTGGCTGAAGGCTTCAAGCAAATTCTTGAATTCTCAGGCCCTTCTCCCTTCTCAATCTATAAGTTCCCTGCCTCATCACCCTGATTTAGGGCGAGACCTTTGACCAAAATCTTTCAGAGGAAGAGGACTCTCGCCCAGAGCAGACATCCTCTGCATTGGTCTTCAATCCTTCTCTCTTCAGGCCATTACTCAGCAAGGCCTTGGTCACTGCCAAGCTGTTGCCAGAGGAAGTGGCTCCCGAGCCACAAGGAAATCCCTCTAGCCAGGGAGACACACTCTTCTCCAAGCCTGTAGTGCATGCAGGGGTTTTGCCTTCTCCCACTTTGCTCCTGGTCATGGTCAAGGAACAGTGCGCTTCTCCTTCGGCAGGTCCTCACCCATCTTCTCTGGATAAGCGTTTCTATAACATCAGCGCAGCCCTGGACAATGCCCTGACAGTGCTTTCTGTTGACATTCATGGGCTGTTCGGCCTTCAACAGCAGCATCCTTTTTTCATGAGGGCATCCATACGGTGGCTGCACCAACTCCAGATTAGATTGCCTACATCTGACCTTTGGTCTCACCAAGACCTTAATAAGATTATCGCAGTGGTGGAATTCACTGCAGATGCCACTATCAATTCTGCCAAATTTGCATCTAGGGCCATGGCATCTTCAGTAGCAGCAAAAAGACAGTTATGGCTCAGAAATTGGCAGGCGGAGTCATGACGTAAATGGAAGCTGGCTTCAGTTCCATTCGCGGGCGATAAGCTTTTTGGCGATGCTCTGGAACCTTATCGCATTGAAACCAGAGACAAATGTAAGATTCTCTCTTCTTCTGGGAAGAGAGCCGACTATCGCCCATCTCCTTATCACCCTCCTGCCTTTTGAGCGGAGACCTCATCCCGCTTTCCCCAGTCTCAGAGTCCATAGTCCCAACGTCAAGACCAACGTGCAGAAACATCTGGCAGGCAACAACCTTCTACTGGTAAACAGCCCTTTCGGGGGGGGGTCATTCCTTCTGTCGCTCTAAGTAATCCCTCATTCTCCCACCCATAGGAGGTTATCTAGCCTTCTTTGCCTCCAAATGGGAGGAGTCAACGACGGATGCCTGTGTGCTCTGCACTATTAGGTCAGGGTTACAATTGGACTTCTTAATGCCACCCCCAAAAGGGGGAAAAAGAAAAAAAATTTTTTTTGAGCTGGCCTGTCTCTCGGGACATTTCAAGGCAAGACCTCATGAAACAGGCCATTCAGCACCTTCTTGAAATCCGATCTATTCAACCTGTTCCCCCCTCTCAATGGGGACATGAGCTTTACTCTTGCCTTTTCATCGTTCCCAAAGCCTCAGGGGTGGTGGTGAACCATCCTGGATCTAAAAATTCTCAACCAATTTGTAAAATACAGACAAATTAAAATGCAGACTCTGCATTCTATTTTAGAGAGCGTTTGGGAGGGTCATCTCCTCTCTTCCATTGATCTCATGGAGCCTTCCTCCACATCCCCTTTTGGCCTCATCATCGCCAGTTTCTCCGTTTCTGTTATCAGAATACCCATTACCAGTATCAAGCACTTCCCTTCGGCCTCTCATCAGCTTCAAGGGTCTTCACGAAGGTTCTGGCGGCATTGATGGCATCTCTGCGTTCTGTTCCAGTGAGGATCCAATGCTACTGGGACGACATTTTGATTCTATCCTCCTCCATCCATGCAGCCCATCGGGATCTGCAAATTACCCTGTCATATCTCCAGAGCCACGGATTTTTCCACTCCCGTCCACTCCAATGGTTCCTGTTTCCCTACCAATGAACAGGAACCAGCCTCTCATCCATCAAGGTCCCGCTCCCACCACAAATCCGGAGATCTCTCAATTCGTGGC